AATCCTTATGGTGATGGAGCCGGACAACTAGGTAAGACTATCATGAAGCATGTACAAATGTAGGTGCAATCTAATATAGGTATAGAAGATGCTGATAAAGTACTAATGGTTTTGAATAAAGCTCTGTTTGCTCCAACAAAATGGGATGACTTGGGGCTCAAGTTGGGTCTACTAATGACAAGACTCAATGTTATTGCAGAAAGTGGTGATTCTTTTAAGCACTTAAAGAAGACTATAGAAGCATGGCTAATGGGTGCAGACAATGTTAAAAGTAGAACATGGTGGACTTTGATCAATGCTGTAAGGGAAGCAGGAGATCATGCAGCTGCTGAAAGAATACCTGAGAAACTGAAATCCCTTTACAATATCACCCTTTAAAGAATTTGTTAGCAAAATGTAAAGTAGTTATTTTTGAATGAATACTGATGCATTCACTATGCATTTTTGTTTGTAATAATAATAATAATAATAATAAAGATGTGTTTTTTGTTTTTTCTCGGACTCTCCCTCCTTTCTTTCTTCATATTTACCTCCCAGTCCCTTGTTCCTGTTCATTTCTCCCTTCTTATTGTTTTATAATAATAATACTAGTGAGTGTGCTTTCAATTTGCTATACGTTTTGAGGATTATTTTATTTTTTTAAAATAATAATTAATTTTATAAGCACATAATTCTAGTATATAGAGTAGATCTACAAAGAGCGGTCATTGACATTTTGCTAGTTTCAGTATTAGGCAAGGTATAATGCAATGCCACACCTCTAAGCTTGAGGCTTGCCACTTTTGTCTATATTTTTGTATATAGTCTATACCGGTAGTAGATCTTTGATAGATAGTGGCCACATCAATAGCTGTGGTTTTGAAACCCAAGATGTTGTTTTTAAAATGAGAGACTGCAATAAGTATAAATATAGTGTATAAATAAGTGATAAATCTTGAGATGCTAATAGGAATTTATGAACACATTTTACCAATTTTTGGAGAGACTCTGGAGTCCCTCCAAAAATTGGTAAATAACACTTTTCACACTCGCCCAGTGTGTCACTTTTGATCTAAATGTACTTGTACTTGCAGTTCAGCTTTGCTACACAGCCAATAGTAATTATGCCTGAATCAGCAATATTGCCTAAAATGAATGAATCAAGTCTGATATTAGCACTGGTATAGTCCTGACAAGTATCATTGCTGAGATGCATGATACTCTGGCCTGAACCAGTGCAAAACCTTTTCATGAAAGTATCGTGACTGATTGCCCAAAATCCATGATCCAGTACTAATTTCAGGACTGATTCAGGCTAGCATCAATCCTGATTTAGATTTTAACTATTGGCTGTGTAGCTAAGCCTAACACCTCCCAAACAGGTGTTTGGGGCAAGGCCATGCACCTTATAGTAATTTGTACTTTGTTAACAACAGCTGCTACTAGAGATTTATTATGACAGCTAGGAAGAGACATATATGGTACACTCATAGGGGTAGGAACAAACTAAAAGTTGGGGGGGGGGGCTAAGGTATTATTTTTACAATTGATCATTAATACAAAGCATGTACTGAAATTAATACTGTCCAAAATATTAGCGTCTATGCTCAT